TTCATAGTTACAGCAACCAGTGAGGTAGTAATATTGTTCCCAAGATTCCAAATCTAGATCAGCAATCCAAAGTGTACTTCTTACCACTGTGCTGTTACTGCACAGGGCATGTCCAGGAGCTGTTTGTTGGAACATGTAGTGCCCAGCGAGGATTTACTGAAGTGTAGAATGAAAGCCCAGTAAGGCAAACTGGAGGATGGATGATAGGGCTGTGAAAGCAGAGTGTAGTCTAGAAAGTATTTAGTGGACAATGTAAGATCACTGAAATATGCCACCATGGAGTCGCCAGGGCGTGGGGTCTTACTTGACTTAGCTGACATGTAGGATGATAGAGAGGGAGGGAGACAGGACACATGTAAACAGATGCCTAAACTTCCATATCATCCCAAATTGCATGCAAATCCCTTTAATCTAGAAGCATGTTTACTGGGGGTCTATCTTCTTAGTCCAGATGGATGATTTCTTTTACATTTCAGCCGGTAAGTAAGCCCTGATTTTCATGGAAAGCAATCCTGTTCCCTATCTGTGTCTATTCCGTTGTGCCCAGCTTCTGACCTTGGCCTGGGGTCTGACACAATACCAGATGCCTCAATGCAGGAAGAGTGGTAATTAATATACTCTTGTCCTTGAAAAGATTCTGAAAAGGCATTGTCCTCTAGAAAAGGAGGAGGCTGATTTTTCTCCCGGTGGCCCTTGGCTTTATACTTTAAGCAACTTGGTCCAAACTTGTTTTGTTTTTTCTTTCTCTATTTGTCTGCCCTGGCAGGCAACTAATTAATAGCCTGGCAATGTAAATACAGATGGAATCTTCATATTAAATTATTAAACAGTATTTTTCACTTTGCTTTGGACATCAGTGATAGCTTATTTATGGTTTTTATTTTATTTGTTTTATGGATTTTATGGTTATTCCAGAAATCAGAATTCTACGTGAAAATTTACTGTAATATAAGACAGGCAGAATTGGTACGTAAACACTTAATGTAGGATTTCGGATCTTGGGTTATTTATTTATTTAATTTATTTATTAAAGGGGCTGGGCGGGCAGCGGGGCAGGAGGGGGTGTGGCCGCCTGGGAGGCTGGCCGAGTGCTTGGGGCACAATTTCAGATTATAACACTTTGCAAATTAGAACAACTTTCAGATATAAAAATGAAATTCAACCTTAGTATCTTATTTTTAACCCAAACAGTGAGGAAAATTAATACTAAATCAAAAAACTAACACTTATTTATTTTGATAATAGCACATTTGATCATGACATAAATGGCTCAGAACTCATGCCATATACAAGAATCAGGCGATTGTTTCAGGTCAGGTCTCACTTATTTGAATTTGTTCCCAGGGCAGTTATTCTGTTTACTTTTGAGATTTGCCTTTCTGCAGAATATATACCAGCAAGCATGTAAGTTTGAAAGCATGTGAAAACCATTGTTTTATATCCTTCACAGATCATTTTGTGTTGTGAGCAAACAACTGTGGTCTTCTCTTTGCTCTTACTCTTTGTTCAATCCACTTAGGCCATTTGCACACCCAGAGTCGAGGCATCACACTGCAGCGTGGAGCAGCAAGTGGTGGTGTTCTGCCTTTGGCCTTGGCCACAGTGGGGCACACTGCTTTAAAAGTATCAGCCAGTGACCAGATGAACCAGGCTTTGTTACCCTAATTAGGGCAGGTAAAGCACACGGGTTCCCAGTAAACCACTACTGTGTCTTATACTCCTTCAATCCTGGAGAATACCTCTCACACCTCAAGAAAATAAAAAACCAAACCCCCAAATATGTGTTGCTTACAGCAGAAATCTTTTGTCTTGAGAGCAGTGGTCCCCAACCCTCATGGTACCAGGACCTGTTTCATGGAAGACAATTGTTCAGGAACCCCAGTGGGGGTGGGGAATGGTTTCAGGATGATTCAAACGCATTATATTTATTGTGCACTTTTTCTATATTATTACATGTCACTTGCCCATACTGATAGGGTTTTGCTATGAGTCTGCAAGAACTGATATTACGGTCCTCTTTGCAGCCAGACTCTCTGCTAATGATCACCTGTATTTGCAGCTGCTCCCCAGCGCAGCATCACCGCCTCAGCTCCACCTCGGATCAACAGCGTTAGAAGTCTCATAAGGCGAGCGCCAAAACCTAATCCCTCGCATCGCCCGGTTTACAGTAGGGTCTCGCTCTGGAGACATCTAATGCCACTGCTGATCGCTGTACAGGAGGCAGAGCCCGAGGTGGGATGTGAGCGATGGACTCGCTGTAAATACAGATGAAGCTCCTTCTCATTACCTCCGCTCCACCTTTGCTGTGTGGCCTGTTTCTAACAGCCCAGGGACCATGAATTGGTCCTCGCGGCCTAGAAGATTAGGCGTGCCCGCAGTTTCTACAGGGTGTATTTTTATATTTACAGGATTCCACGTTCGCATCTGGATATTTCCCCCAGATACAGTAAAGCAAATGTGACAATATGGAGAGATTCCCTACTGGAGAATTTCTCATTGTGCTTAATGTCCACTGTCTTGCTTCTATTAAATTTGCCGTTGAACCCGCCAGCCTCCCTGGTGTATTACCTTTGGGAACATGGAAGGGCAGGAGTTACTGCCAAATAACACCAGCCCTTCCTGTGGAATTTCGTTACTACAGAAAATCCCAGTCTGGATGTAGAAGTGTTCTTCCTCCCAACCTTTGAGCATTTAATAACTTTATCCTCGGATAGTGGTACCCTAAACTGCTCGGCTGTATAAAAGTGTCCCACCCAATACTTACTTTTACCAAGAGGCTGATTCTAACAGAAGAAATGTTTTACTTATTTCTTTATTCTTTTCATATTCAATTGTAACAATAATTGGAATCTTTCTTAGTATTTCTTGAAGACGTCGCTGTCTGCCTACTCACTACGCCTAATTCCTCTTAATTTTTCTCCACATCACGCTGTCGTTAGTATGCTGGGCACTTGATGTCTGTCTCTTATCCCACCTCTGCCAAAATACAGGAATTCATGGGAGAATCCTGGCGTGGGGGCAAACTGCTTTAGAGTGTCTCTTCTCGATCCCAGTTCTTGTCAGGAAGGGTGGCAGACCCCTGAAGGTGACAAGCAAGTCCCACCTCTCTAAAATGCGGACACCCCAAAAGCCTCTGTCTGATTCTTCAATAAAACCATGGGTGTTTTAATTTTCATATTTCTTTCCAAATATTCAGTCTCAGAGAAACTGAGAGAGTCGAGAGCAAACACTCAGGAGAAATATCCCGTTGGTGACAGCTGGTCCTAGTGTGTGGACTCTGTACTGTAGACATGACTGAGTTCATGCTGACTGAACACTCAAAGTGCGGAGCCCGGAACCACATCTCAGTGAGCTATATACCAGAACGTCACACATGTCGTCTCTTCGTTCTTCCACTCAATACGCACTGAGACCACACAGTCCTGGATGTACGACTTAAGATTACTTTAATGTACCAGTGTATACACTTGCAGTGTTTCTTCTCCTTACAACTGAGAGCTGACGTAGAGCCCACCCACATGCTTTATCAACTATACCATCCACCCCACCCTCTGCCAGAAATAAAAAAAGCTGTAGGCCTAACGAGGATATGTGTCAAGAGTTCTATTTGATATCCCACTTTTCTAAATCATATACTCTTCATGGTCTCTAGAGCAGTGCTATGTGCTCTCATTGTATAAATTATAATCTTCAGAATCCTATTCCTAAGTTGCTAAGAAATTTAATTCTATTTCCTCTCACAGAAGCTACTCCGCATATGTATTTTAGACAAGATATCCTATGTCGTTATTTATGACAAAGCAATGAGGCCCAGCACTTTTACTAATTCAGGAGTTTCTTCGAACCACAGTGCGTGCTGCACCTCACATGAACTTGTCAGCGTCCCACAGAGCTTGACACTCATAGGTGATAGGTAACTAAACACAGACATGATGGAGTCTCCAGGGCTAGCAGGGCTGATCTGCCTGGAATACCCAGACATATTAATCTGTTTCATATCTCATTTTCAGCAAAAGAACTTCCTATAGCACTAGCCTGTGAATTACTTAACATAATTTCATATGTAAAAAACGAGTAACCAAACTCATTTTGGACCATAAGGGTTTCTAATTGAATGCTAAGAGAGATCATGACTGCACAATTCGACATTGATTTTAGCATAGAATTAAACTTATTGTGCAATTCAAGCTCTCCGAAGCAAGTACATAAATAATCAGAGAGGGTCAGCCCTCGATCAATATGTTCGAGATGTCTGCATGGCTAATTGGTATTTCAAATACAAAGTAATCGATATCTCCACATTGCTCTATAATGTATAATTCATATGGATTCTCATAGTACGCCACGGAATAAGGTGACTGATATCTCTTTGTATTACGAGAATGTGTTGTCTGACAAATTACTGTGCCTCTAATATCTCAGAAGATGCAGACATATCTTTCATATAGTATAAACTGAAAATGACGGGCCAGTGTGATAACCAGGTCTTTATATTAAGGCCAGCGATGAGACCAGACATAACTCTCAGAA